GTTATAACGGACAAATGGCCTTTGGCATAAGTCACGGGTTTCCTAATTTTTTCAAAATATTAGGTGGCAACTTTGAAAATCTAGCAATGCAGTCCATTTTCAGCATCTTTGGTGATGAAAGATTTGCTGGATTTGGACTCTCATCCTTTTTTTTCTAATTCACATTACACTTATGAAACCAGATTCAGAACCATGAGAGTCTGAACTGTAGGGAGTAGGGCAATCGTATATGAGGAGACTAAACCTCTCCGAGAAGCACGAAAAACCAACTACATCCTCTTAGTCAAATGGTGTTGTTGAACAGAAGAATAGAACGTTAAATAAAATGATGAATGCAATGTTAATAAGCTCTGGGTTGCCACAGAACCTGTGTGGAGAAGCAATTCTCTTCACGAATTACATTCTAAATAGAATACCTCAGAAGAAAATAGACAAGACTCCCTATGAATTATGGAAAGGCCATAAGCCTTCTTATAATTTCCTACGAATGCGGGGGTGTCTTGCAAAAGTGGCGATACCTACACCCAAACGGGTTAGGATAGGTCCGAAAACCATGGATTGTATATTCATTAGTTATGCACCAAATAGTAGTGCATATAGGTTTCTTGTACACAAGTCTAATATTTCAGATATCCACAAGAATACCACAATGGAGTCAAGGAATGCGTCCTTTTTTGAAGACGTATTTCCTTACCGAACCCGAGGAGAGGGTCAACGTTCTGAGAATGAACTTGAAGATGATCAAGACGAAGAAGTAGATGAGCCAAAATGGAGTAAGAGGGCTAGGATGGCCAAGTCATTTGGCCTGGACTTCTTGACTTATACGTTAAAGGGAGAATCTTGAACTTTTTATGAAGTTGTGACTTCACTTGAAAGTCCTTTATGGAAAGAAGCAATTAAAAGTGAAATTGACTCCATCTTACAGAACTATACTTGGGAGTTAGTTGATCTATCCCCAAGCAATAAGACCTTGGGGAGTAAGTGGATCTTTCGAAGAAAGATGAAAGCGGATGGGTCAATTGATAAGTATAAAACTAGGCTAGTTATCAAAGGATACAGGCAGCAAGAAGGCCTGGATTACTTTGATACGTATTCACCCGTGACAAGGATTACATCCACTCGCATGGTAATTGTGATAGCCGCTTTACGTGGTCTAGCGATACATCAAATGGATATAAAGACAACTTTCTTAAATAGAGATTTAGATGAAATCTACATGGAGCAACTCGAGGGGGCTCCAAGGCAAAATAAGAAAGTCTGTAAGCTTGTCAAGTCATTATATGGTTTGAAGCAAGCTCCTAAGCAATGGCATGAAAAGTTTGACAACGCTATGTTGTCAAATGGGTTTAGAATCAATGAGTGTGACAAGTGCGTATATGTTAAAGACACTGACAGAGGTTATGTCATTTTGTGTCTATACGTAGATAACATACTCACTATTGGTGGTAATGATGAAATGATTAGAACAACTAAGAGATTGTTAAACTCTAAGTTTGACATGAAAGATATAGGCCTTGTAGATGTCATTCTAGGTATTAAGATCACCAGAACATCTAGTGGGGTTGTACTTTCTCAGTCTCACTATGTTGAGACGATACTTGGAAAATTTAGGAAATTAGATACGAATGTGTCTGGGACACCAGTAGACTTGAGTCTACATTTGACCAAGAATAATGGTGAGAGTGTCTCTTAGTTAGAATATTCTCGGGTCATTGGAAGTTTGATGTATTTGATGAGTTGTACAATGCCGGATATAGCCTCCTCTGTTAACATGCTTAGTAGATACACAAGTAATCCGAATGCCACTCATTTGAGGGCCATTATGTGAGTGTTAGGTTATTCATGGGCTATATTATAATAGATACCCTGCGGTAAGAAAAATGTATAGTGATGCTAATTGGATATCTAATATAAGGGACTCCAAATCCACTAGTAATAATGTGTTTACCCTCGGTGGAGGGGCAGTCGTGTCTTGGAAATCTTCCAAGCAAACATGTATATCGAGATCAACGATGGAATCTAAGTTTATTACTTTGGATAAAGAAACTGAAGAAGTTGAATGGCTTTGCCTGTTCATTGAGGATATTTCACGTTGGCCAAAACCTGTGCCTGCTATCTGTATTCATTGTGATAGCCAATTGGCGATTAGATATGCATAGAGTAATATGTATAATGGAAAGTCTAGCCATATCCGTCGTAGACATAATTCCATACGACAACTACTCTCTAATGGAGTTGTCTCTCTAGACTATGTAAAGTCTAAAGGCAACATTGTGGATCCGCTAACTAAAAGTTTAACTCGAGAGTTAATAGAAACGTCGTCAAGAGAAATGGGGTTAAGGCCTTTAGTAATGTTTCTGGAATGGAAAACCCAAGCTAGTTGACTAGAGATTCCAAGATCTAGGTTCAAAGGGATAACCTACCTACGTGTAACGAGTGAGTCACTGAAGAGGTAAATCCTCTTACTCATTCCTTTATACAGTGATACCTTGTGGAGGTGGAAGGTTAAGCTAATACTTTTAATGACCTAAGTGATATGGATAATCAACTGTGGTATAATGAGATACCTTATATAGATCACCTATGTGAGTGTGAAATTGGGCCGCTTCTTTAAAAATTGGTAAGGCCGAATTCTTTAAAAACACTCACTAAACCAGGCTAGTGCTCCAAGGCCATACCAGACACACCAGTAAGAACAAAAACAATGGTTGGACTAACTCCTATGTGAGTTCTATTGTCTCAGTTTATACAAACGGCAGAATAGTTCAAGACATCACATTTACTGGTCAACCAGTAAATTAGATAGGCTTTCACTACAAAAGGTTCAAAGCTAACAACTACCTTAATGATGCAGGGTTAGTTTGTGTGCTTTCTCTGCGAATCTTTGTTGTAAACATTGCCTGTTTTCTTTATTCAGTCAATTTTTATTCATTTGGGGGATTGTTGGAAAAAATAGTTTTATGATGACTTTAATGTGAAATTAAAGTAGGTTCTAACTATTGGTTGAGGTGTGATTAAATGAGTTTAAATTCTTTGTAACAAGATCTTTAAACCACAAAAAGAATGACCAAGAACCATTAAGAATTGAATGAGAAATTGTCTCATAAAGTTGGCCTCATAAATGAGGCATTTGGAATTGTGTATAACTATCAATCCCACATTGATTGTAAAGGAAAACTTTTATGAGTATTTAAACTTCAAGATTTTGATAAGAGCATGAGCCCTTTAAGGCATCCAAATTTTTTGGAGGAAGGGAGTTATGGATACTTTAAGGATGGGCTCGAACCAAAACTATAGTCCAAGTTGGTTATGAAAAAATTGCCATACGCGCGCACGCCTCCCGTCCTCCTGCCTAGACCGGGCCTGGGTCGGGTCTTGGTCCGGGTGTATGGCCTGTGATCTATGGGTTGTGGATCTTGGATCTTGGGCTTGGGCTTGAGGCTTACTGGAATGGGTTAGGTTTAGGCTACGCCGGATTGGTGGTCCACCAACCTAATCTTTTTGGGCCAAGTCTGTCAAGTGAGTACAGATATGTATATACAGACATGTGTATATTGTGTGTAATTCACACATTGAATCCCCATCAATTTTGTGCATTACTCTAGCAGTTTTACAAAAGTAATTGCCTGCATTGGTTGCTAGCATTCATAGCTAGAGGCTCTTCCTCTCTCCTCCATGGTGTATAAATAGAGACCAACTTCTTTGGTTAGGGATACAGAATTTTTTGCCTTCTAGAGTATACAGTCTGTTTGCTCATATAATTTTCTTCCTATGTGAGAGAGTGCTACCATTGTCAGTTCGTCAAAGCTAACAGAAGATGCTTTTACATTAACTGGTCTAAACCATCGTATCATGGGAGACAAAAGCGGACGTACCTCTAGCACACATGGTGAGGCGACTAATCTGTTTTAAAGAGATTGTGGTATCACACAGGTTTCGATTTGTTTTCTATACCATTTTATTGTATTGTGTATTTCTGTGCAATATCATTGTAAATTCCAGCATGTTTTCTTATTTCGTAATTTAATTTGATTAATTACGAATCTATTTATTTTAGTTATTTACACAATTTGTATAACAATCACTTGAGGGGCCAATCATTACTATGCAGCAGACTTGGTATAATTTATCTCTGATGGAACCAAGAAAAATTCGAATTGATAAAATCATTAGAAGAAAACCTTCTGTTAATTATAGTTTTGTAGATGTATTGTCAAGGAATAAATTTCTCTCCAGTCCACATAGTGAATTGGAGTATATTATTGGGCCTGTGAAATTCACCACGGGTCTTATTTTGATAATTCAAGATATTTAATGTGTAAAATTCATCGAGTAATTTATGCTTGGAAAAATATCACGCTGATCGGATATCGGTAGCCTCTTGATCGAAATACATTTTTGTCAATGGTAAATATTGTTTTAAAAATAAATTGTTAACAAAAATGTATTCCGATCGAAGCGCTACGATATCCGAGTAACTTAATTTTTTATAGGTATAAATTACTCGATAAACTTTACACATTAAACTGTTCAGATTATCGAAATGAGATCCGTGATGGACCTCCACAGACTTAATAATACGCTCTAATCCACTATATGAACTTGAGAGAAGTCATCTCCATTGTGAAAATCAAATGAAAGTTCTAATACATATCTCATCCATTAAATCATCATAATAAATGACAACAAAAATATAACATGACTCAATTAAGTAACACACAAATTAAAAATGTCCAAATTATCATTTGACCAATGGTTTAACCCACTAAAACAACCATTTGCATCCTCAATCGCTCACTATATTAGATTTGGTCTCCATCGATCAATTACATCATTAAAAAAACTGATTAAAAAAATTGTATGATTTGAGGTCTCCATCTAAGAGATGTACCCTAATAAAAAAACATTTGTGTCACTTTTTAACGTGGAAGGCCAAAATTAATTGAAAACTAAAACTAACGTGCTGAGAAGTTAATTTAAATCTCCAAACAACAACCAAACTAGACATGGGTTGAGTATTCATGTGGTGCATCAATTTTTGTCCGCGTGTAATTCTTCAAATCCATGGCGTAAACTTTGTGGGGTTCACCTAATTTGGAAGAACCAATCACTAACAACTTGGTTTGCCATACTGTCATGTAAGCCATATTGCACACCTCAGCTGGTACTCTAGCTATGACTCGCCAAGTAGTGTCTATACGAGTCATCACATTACCTTCATGAATCATGTACAATCCAGAATCGCTACCGTCCACACATGTCCTTGGACACATGGCATCTTCTAAGAAGTCATTTCCGATCAGGTCCCATCGCCAAGTTGTAATATCAAATAATTCAATATCACTTTCAAAATGACCTTGCATTTCTGTAAGGTATCCACCAATGACGTGGAACTTATCATCAAAAAACACACCCTTACACCCTTACACTCGTGTCACTCTGTTTTAATGTCAGGAAGCTTGATCCACTTGGCCTTGCGTCCGGATCCTCTAGAGTGATCCTCTAGAGTGGTGCAACACATGTCCCATTAATAAAACCAATGACTGAGATTATCCCTCGCCAAAACGAAGTCCTTTTGGTGAGCCAAACCAAAAAAAAAAAAAATTGCAGAGTTTGCAGATCAAGAGGGAGGAGGAAGAAGAAGAAAATGGATTTGAGAGAAACTGGAAGAAAACAGATTTGAGGAAGAAGAAAACTCTGGGTTTGAGAGAAAATGGGTTTGAGAGATGAAGGAGAAAATGAAAGTTCATCCATGGCGATGAACTTCTTAAGAGATCAAACCCATTAACCCAACACAGCAAAAAAAACTTTTCTTCTTCCATTTTCTTCTTCCTCAAATCCATTTAATAGTTGGATTTGCAGAGAAAATGGGTTTGAGAGATGAAGAAAAAAATGGAAGTTCATCCATGGCGATGAACTTCTTGAGCGACCAAACCCATTAATCCAACACAGCAAAAAAACTTTTCTTTCAATTTCTCTCAAATCCATTTTCTTTCAATTTCTTTCAAATCCATTTTCTTCTTCCAGTTTTCTTACATTTTCTTCTTCCCCCTCCGCCTCTCAAATCCATTTTCTTCTTCTTCCTCCTCCCTCTTGATCTGCAAACTCTACAATTTTTTTATTTTTTTATTTATTTTTTTTGTCTGGCTTACCAAAACGACGTCGTTTTGGCGAGAAATCATCTCAGCCATTGATTTCATTAATAGAACACGTGTCGAGCCATAAAGGATCACTCTAGAGGATCACTTAGGATCCGGACGCCTCGGGCTTAGCCACATTATATGATAGGGCAGATTTCAATACATATTTCTTTTTATCGTGACCACCCGCAACATACACCATCCTGAACCCAAGAAATAATCTTCCACCACCTGGCATATCCGTCCCATGCCGCCTGATGCCAGAAACAAAGTTGTAAATAAACACTGAATCCGATACCTGCCAAGTCACCGGGTCACACCCGTCTATCAATACCAGCTTCGATCCAACTCCGATAAGGTGGCCAAACATCGGCAACCCATCGGAAAACCCCGGCATGGGTGGCGGGTCAGACCAATAATCAGTTTCCAGCTCACAAAGTGTAAGCCGATACAAGGGTGGAGCAGAAAGCTTAGCACCACGCAGATTTTGGATCGGGTTGACCCGTGCTTGTGACACCACGATGAGTGATCGGGCCAATCCAGCTGTCTTCAGATGGTGAGGAAACTCCGGCAGCTCAATCTCGGCTTTTTAGCCTCTGCATACGGAGGCAGGCACGGGGAATTGATTGAATGGTCCGCGAATAAGACATTCGAGAGTGACGTGGTTGGAAAGACCTAGAAGGAGTTCCACGAAAGAGTTCAAACAGAGTAAGGATTCTCCCCTTACCATTCTTAGTTCGCTGCCTCCTTACAATGGTTAAGCTTCATCTTAAAAGAATTTAATAGCTCAGATTACTTTATTAAAAGTTTAAAAATAATTTTTTTAGAATGATTTAAATTATTGAATTCTCTTAAAATGAATCTTATAAACACATATAAGCTCTCTTAAAGTTTCAATATGGGACAAACATTACAAGAAAACTCACATTTTACACAAAAATGTTTGAGACCATGAACCTTAAAATAATGTAAATTAAATATATATATATATATATTGTCCTTTTTTAATCAATTTTAGCGAGTAGGGATTGTAAAATTGTATTTTTTTGAAAGTGTATAGCATTTTTGGCATAGGTAGAGACTAGCTTTTGTTTATAAAAGGTGAGGTGATGTTGGAGACTTTTTTTTTGAAAGAAAGAGGGAAGAAAGTGGGAGAGAGAGAGAGACTTTTTTTGGATTGAGACGCGGTTATATAAATTAATTTTGTTTTTATTCCCTCTATTGGATTTTTTCGCCTTGCGTTTATGACATTGATAAAATATTTGAAACGTGACTATTAAACAATGTGCTTCTTGTATTTATTTTAGTCTAAGTGTGGTTCACATGATTGTATGTATGAATATTTTTGGCACACCTTTTTTTTTTTCTTTTTTCTTTTTTCTTTTTTGTTGTGTTTCTAACAAGGTTTTTAAACGTTTAACTTTTGAAAAATGCTAAGAATCTATTCTTACGGATTTTGAATTTATTCTGAATGTATTTATATGATGTAAAATAAATTGTGTACGGGGAGGAAATAATTCTCCTTGTATAATCCTGTTGACCAAGTCCACGCTCCGCCGTACGACGTCGCTTTGTTACCTGAAAACACAAACGTGAGCTAGTCGGCGGGTGTATGCCGGAAACCTCTCCGATGCCTAAGTCAGTAAGCTTGACAAATAGACAAAGTTTTATGTTCTCAAAAAGGTTGTGTTCAATTACCTCCTCCAAGGTGATGCTTGTGAGCTTTTATAAATTTCCCGTGGCACAATCCTAGTAGGACTTGTATTTCTCCATGCAGAGTCCTCCTAGGATTCATTCTCCTAAGGATAATGCTTATCCTTTTACACCCTCCCCCACTGCTTAAACCAAGTGGGATGGTTTTCTTTATGGCCGAACTTCCATTTGACCGAAGTAAAATTGGCTATACTGAGCCACAGAGGGCCGAACTATCAACCTTGATGTGCTTAGATCAAACTTCCAAGTAACAAGTTCTGACCGACCTAACCATTGTAAGTCACGACCGGACTAATTCCGAAACCGGCCTTCCCAGAACATACTGTGACCGGACTAACTCTAAGACCGGCCTAACTCCGAGTTGCCTCCGGACCGGTGTAGCTTTATTCTTCCTTGGGCCGACGCAACTATCTCTTCTTGAGCCGGAGTAATCACACCTCCTTGGGCCGGAGTAACTTTGCCGGAGTAACCTTGCTCTCCTGGGCCGGAGTATCCTTTACGGCCTTTTTTACTCAGTCCTTCGCGTTTTGGGCCTCAAAGCCCAACTCGCAGCTCGGCCCAATTTTTCCCAAAAATTACCCTCTCAATTTTATACAAAAAATTTTTTTATATTAAAAGTCCTACACATTTTCCAAATTTTTATAGTAAAACACTCACCTACTATATCATAGTTGGACTAGAATTTCCAATTTGTGTGGAAAAAAGATGGAAGAAAAAGTACTTCAAAGTACCAACAAAATTTTTATAGTAAAACACTCACCTACTATATCATAGTTGGACTAGAATTTCCAATTTGTGTGGAAAAAAGATGGAAGAAAAAGTACTTCAAAGTACCAACAAAATTTTTATAGTAAAACACTCACCTACTATATCATAGTTGGACTAGAATTTCCAATTTGTGTGGAAAAAAGATGGAAGAAAAAGTACTTCAAAGTACCAACAAAATTTTTATAGTAAAACACTCACCTACTATATCATAGTTGGACTAGAATTTCCAATTTGTGTGGAAAAAAGATGGAAGAAAAAGTACTTCAAAGTACCAACAAAATTTTTATAGTAAAACACTCACCTACTATATCATAGTTGGACTAGAATTTCCAATTTGTGTGGAAAAAAGATGGAAGAAAAAGTACTTCAAAGTACCAACAAAATTTTTATAGTAAAACACTCACCTACTATATCATAGTTGGACTAGAATTTCCAATTTGTGTGGAAAAAAGATGGAAGAAAAAGTACTTCAAAGTACCAACAAAATTTTTATAGTAAAACACTCACCTACTATATCATAGTTGGACTAGAATTTCCAATTTGTGTGGAAAAAAGATGGAAGAAAAAGTACTTCAAAGTACCAACAAAATTTTTATAGTAAAACACTCACCTACTATATCATAGTTGGACTAGAATTTCCAATTTGTGTGGAAAAAAGATGGAAGAAAAAGTACTTCAAAGTACCAACAAAATTTTTATAGTAAAACACTCACCTACTATATCATAGTTGGACTAGAATTTCCAATTTGTGTGGAAAAAAGATGGAAGAAAAAGTACTTCAAAGTACCAACAAAATTTTTATAGTAAAACACTCACCTACTATGGCCCCGTTTGGTAAAATTATGGGAAAGTAATTATACCTTATAATTTAACAGTTTATAACTTATAACTGTGAATATAATTTGATTTTTGACTTATAAATTAAGCTTCTCTTCCCCCACTCAAAGAATAAATTGATTTTTAACTTACAAAAAGCTATAAACTGTATTGTTAAGCTGAACCAAACACATCAAAATAGCTTAAATTAAGCT